TTTTGTAGTTTTAGTGGAGTCGGGGTTTCACCATGTTAACCAGGATGGTCTGGATCTCCAGATCTGGTGATCTGCCCACCTAGGCCTCCCAAAGTGTTGGGATTACAGGCCTGAGCCACTGTGCCCGGCCAAGAAAGTTTTTAAAAAGTACACAAAAGAAAAGAGCTGGATGCAGTGGCTCAAGCCTGTAATCCCAGCACTTTGGGAGGCCGAGGCGGGAGGATGGCTTGAGCCTAGGAGTTTGAGACCAGCCTGGGCCACGTGGAGAAACCCTGTCTCTACAAGAAATATAAAAAGTAGCCAGTCGTGGTAGCATGTCCCTGTAATCCAAGCTACTTAAGAGGCTGAGGTGGGAGAATTGCTTGAGCCCGAGAGGTTGAGGCTGCAACAGGCTGTTATCACACCACTGCACTCCAGCCTAGGCGAAAAAGTGAGATCCTGTCTCAAAAAGAAAAAAAAAAAAAAAAAAAAAGACAAGACAGAAAAGGAAAGGAAAGAAAAGATTGAAGGAAAAAAGAAAAAGAACCCATAATAGAAGCAAGTTGAGGTATGGTCCACCCGCCAGGTTGATTAAGCCTGGAAAGTAGGAGTCATTTTCTTCATCTCTAAATTATCATCACAAATGTAAATTCTACCTTTTAAATAGCTCTCAAACATTTCGATTGCTTTTTCTCTGCTCCCAATGACTATCTCCTCCTTCTTCAAACACTCATTATTTCTGTGCGTAACAGCCCTCACTACTATCTTTACTTGTATGTGTCTCGTTTGTGCCACATCCTCCCATCCACCCTTTACACAGAACACAAGATCCACTGTCACCCTGGAGTTGAGGCCTGTATTTCAGGTTTGCTATGCAAGAACTCATATATGAGCCTTTAACTTTGTATATGCTGCTTCTTCACACTGAAATGTCTTCTCTGTCTTTTCCGCCTCCACCCATCCCCTTAGTGATATGTATTTATACTTTTAGGTTTAGCAGAATTATAAGTAACTCCTCCTGACATCTTAAATGATCCTGTTGAGATACAGCTGAGTATTGCTACTTTTGGGCTGTTGTCATAACCTGTGCAAACGTGTTTCACCACTGCTATACGGGGTTGAATTGTGTGCCCGCAAAAGATATGTCGAAGTTTTAACCACAGGTACCTGTGAAAGTGAGTTTATCTGGAAATAGGGTCTTTGGAGATGTAATCAAGTTAAATTGAAGTGATACTGGATTAGGGTGAACCCTAATCTAAAGACTGATGTCTTTGTAAGAAAAGAACAAATGGCTACACAGAGAAGACCACATGAAGAAGGAGAGAGAGATGAGAGTGGTGCAGCTACAAAGGCAAGGAACACTAAGGACTGCCAGGAGCCCCTAGAAGCTGGGAGGAGACACAGGAAGATTCTTCCCTAGAGTCTTCAAAAAGGCACATGGTCTGACACCTGCATTTTAGACTTCTGGGTCTCAGAACTGTGAGTGAATAAATTTCTGCTGTTTTAAGCCTCCCAGTTTGCAGCCATTTGTTACAACAACTCTAGAAAACAAATACAGGCACCTACTACCCATTATTTTCAAATATTAGTTCACGGTGCTAGGATCATATTTATCTCCAGGACCTAATTATAGCTGGGAAGTCAGAGGGCTCAATCAGTGTTGTAGATTAATTTAATTTCATATAATACTACCTTACTTTTATTTAAGCTTATTTTTATTCTGTCTCAAGAACACCCCTATTTGTCAAATAAGTGTTATTTTAACATCCATATACATTTAAGGTAAGTCTCAAGACTATAATTTTATATATTGTCAATAACTCTAAGAATGACCTCCATGGGCAGCTCATCCCCCTCCACTTACTAGGAGGAAGCAAAGCTGTCATTGAGCGAGCGTCAAATTTCACAGATTCAGAGCAGCTATCAACGTCCTCCTGTTGATCACGAAAGGGATCCCACTGCTCCATACTTCTGTGAAACAAATGGAAAAATATATTAATTCCACATGAAATGGCTAGGGCTCTTTTGCATAGTGTTTTAAACTGAAATTTCAGTTTGAAATGGAATCTACATTCTGTGACACAATCTATAATAAATAACATTTAATTTTAGCAAAAAACTATATTTTGTTAAATTTGTATATCTGTCATATACAGCAATATATTAAAGTTACCCATAAGTTTTAACTTGCATGTAAAAAGACAGATGTATGTGGAACCCTCTCATGTATCTTTCTGTGTGCAAATGTGTATCTCTATTTTTAGAGGTGTGTTTACTGAGTGTGGGAAAAGAGGTAGCTCTTCTTTCTTAGCTGAAAAATTTTTTACAAGTGACAGAAAATAATTTGTAAAATGATTTAATCAGTAATTTAATAGGGTAAAAGGAAGGAAACAAAAGAAACGTCTGGATCTGAATAACCTGATTTCACTTCTCACAAAAGTCAATTTTCCCAGATAATTATTTTAATTTGCCTCTACCTGAGAAAAGAGAGGATTTGAGCACTATGCCTGCCTTCCTCCATCCTCTTCCTCCACAGTGTTTAAATCCATTAGAGATCATAGTCCTTGTCCATATCAACATAGGATTCAGGAAAACCAGTGATGGTGAGCATTTTTTCATGTGTCTGTTGGCTGCATAAATATCTTCTTTTGAGAACTGTCTGTTCATATCCTTCACCCACTTTTTGATGGGGTTGTTTGATTTTTTTCTTGTAAATTTGTTTAAGTTCTTTGTAGATTCTGGATATTAGCCCTTTGTCAGATGGGCACATCATCACTGGTCATCAGAGAAATGCAAATCAAAACCACAATGAGATACCATCTCACTCCAGTTAGAATGGAGATCATTAAAAATTCAGGAAGCAACAGGTGCTGGAGAGGATTTGGAGAAATAGGAATGCTTTTATACTGTTGGTGGGATTGTAAACTAGTTCAACCATTGTGGAAGACAGTGTGGTGACTCCTCAAGGATCTAGAACTAGAAATACCATTTGACCCAAACATCTCATTGCTGGGTATATACCCAAAGGATTATAAATCATGCTGCTATAAAGACACTTGCACACGTATGATTATTGTGGAACTACTCACAATAGCAAAGACTTGGAACCAAGCCAAATGTCCATCAGTGATAGACTGGATTAAGAAAATGTGGCACATAAACCCCATGGAATACTATGCAGCCATAAAAAAGGATGAGTTCGTGTCCTCTGTAGGGACATGGGTGAAGCTGGAAGCCATCATTCTGAGCAAACTGTCGCAAGGACAGAAAATCAAACACTGCATGTTCTCACTCACAGGTGGGAACTGAACAATGAGATCACTTGGACACAGGATAGGGAACATCACACACTGTGGCCTGTCATAGGGTGGGAGGAGTGGGGAAGAATAGCATTAGGAGATATACCTAATGTAAATGACGAGTTAATGGGTACAGCACACCAACATGGCACATGTATACATATGTAACAGACTTGTACGTTATGCACATATAACCTAAAAAAAAAAAAAAAAAAAAGGATTCAGGAAAACTAATTCTCAGAAGTGATGTACACACAAATTGTCATTGCAAACTGCCAAATAAGGAATTTCCTTAGTATTATTTTAATTACTGTATTCACTGAAAAAACAATTTCCCTTAGAACAAATAGTTTTGCATATTTGGAAAAAATACATATTTCCTGGCTGTTCAAAAAAATTATTTATTGGCCAGGCACAGCGGCTCACACCTGTAATCCCAGCACTTTGGGAGGCTGAAGCGGGTGAATCTCCTGAGGTCAGGAGTTCGAGACCAGCCTGGCCAATGTGGTGAAACCCCATCTCCACTAAAAATACAAAAAAACTAGCCAGGTGTGGTGGCAGGCACCTGTAATCCCAGCTATTCGGGAGGCTGAGGCAGGAAAATCGCTTGTACTCGGGAGGCAGAGCTTCCAGTGAGCCGAGATTGTGCCATTGTACTCCAGCCTGGGCAAGAAGAGAGAAACTCTGTCTCAAAAAAAAGTATTTATTTATTTGTTTGTTTGTTTGTTTGTTTTGAGATGGAGTCTCACTCTGTTGCCCAGGCTGGAGTGCAGTGGTACAATTTCAGCTCTCTGCTACCATGTTGGCCAGGCTGATCTTGAACTCCTGACCTCAAGTCAACCTCCCAAAGTGCTGAGATTACAGGTGTGAGCCATAGCACCCGGTCTCTCTCTTCCTCTCTGTCTCTCTCCCTTTCTCCCTCTCCCTCTCCCCTCTCTTTCCTTTCTCTCTCTCTCTTCTCTCTCTCTCTTTCACTTTCCAGGCCTTTTCTCATTTTACATTGGCAGCCATACAAATATGTCCTTGTACCTTTTTCAGCATAATCTAAATTTTATGTGCATACTAAGTAGCTTAACAACAACAAAAATGTTCCTGTGTCTCTTTAACATGTATCAGAAACATTGGAAAGGTTTGATAACAAGAGACTGATGGGCCTCATCCCCAGAGTTTCTAATATTTGGGGCGAGGGCTCAAGAATTTACAATTCCAACAAATTCTCAAGAGGTGATGCAATTGGTCTGAGGACCACATTTTAAGAATCTTTTCCATAAAAAGACATTATATGACGACTTTTGTTGGACACAGTTTAGTTCATGTGATTGATAGATTTACCCTAAAGCCAATATCTTCTGATCATTTCTTATTTTCTTGAATGCTGAGTAATGGACTTAGCACAGCACAGTTCTAACTGAGTGCACCCGCAGCGTCAGGACAGCAAACTCAAATCTAGCCCAGGAAATGAAAGGCGATCATTCAGATGCAAGTGTTCATCCCACTGTGGGGAGAGGCAGTGACATGTAAGGATATGACTCAACTCCTGTCAATATATTTTGAAAACATCACTAAGGATATTCTTTATTTGGCAGTTTGCAATGACAATCTTTGCATATTCCTCCTTTCTGAGAGTTGGTTTTCATGAATCCTACGTTGATCTGACCAAGGACTATGTTCTTTAATGGATATGACCACTGTGGCAGAAGGGAATGAAGGGAGGTAGGCACAGAACCCAAATTTCCTTTCTCAGGGAGAGGCAAAGCAAAATAAATAAACAATTATCTGGGAAAATAAACTACTGTAAGAAGCCAAACTGGATTATTTAGATTCACACTCCTCTCTATTTCCTCCCTTTAAATTTACCCTATTAGATTTAAATAGCAGTTTTACTCACCAAGCAAAACAAATGAACAAAAAATCCAAATAATTTTAAAAAACTGAGATGACAATAAAACTCAGCAAAATTCACTTCAAAACTATAGTTGAATGATTTATAATCCTTTGGGTATATACCCAGTAATGCGATTGCTGCGTCAAATGGTATTTCTCGTTCTAAATCCTTGAGGAACCGCCACACTGTCTTCCACAATGATTGAACTAATTTACACTCCCACCGACAGTGTAAAAGCGTTCCTATTTCTCCATATCCTCTCCAGCATCTGTTGTTTCTTGACTTTTTAATGATCGCCATTCTTGGAACCAATCCAAATGCCCATCAATGATAGACTGGATAAAGAAAATGTGGCACATATACACCATGGAATACTATGCAACCATAAAAATGACTGAGTTCATGTCCTTTGCAGGGACATGCATGAAGCTGGAAACCATAATTCTCAGCAAACTAACACAGGAACAGAAAACAAAACATCACATGTTCTCACTCATAAGTGGGAGCTGAACAATGAGAAAACATGGACCCAGGGAGGGGAACATCACACACTAGGGCCTGTCAGTGGGTGGGAGGCAAAGGGATGGGTAGCATTAAGAGAAACACCTAATGTAAACGATGGGTTGATGGGTTCAGCAAACCACCATGGCATGTGTATACCTATGTAACAAACCTGCACATTCTGCACATGTGTACCTATGTAACAAACCTGCACATTCTGCACATGTGTACCTATGTAACAAACCTGCACATTCTGCACATGTATCCCAGAACTTAAAATATAATTTTAAAAAAGTTGAAGAAAGAAAACCCTATAGTTTAAGGCACTTGGAACTGTGTACTAATGCTTTTTAACGTTGAACTCAGTTTGTAAGAGATGGACCCGCAAAAATTGTGTTCATGTATACCTGGTATGTACAGACATGTGTCACTTAAGGACAAAGATACATTCTGAGAAATGCATTGCTAGTCAATTTCATTGCTGTATGAACATCATAGAGTGCACTTACACAAACCTAGATGGTCTGGCCTATTGCTCCTAGGTTACACACCTATACAGCATGTTATACTGTGCTGAATCCTGTAGGCAGGTTGGAACACGATGGGAAGTATGTGTGTTTCTAACATATCTACACGTAGAGAAATGCAGTCAAAATATGGTATAAAAGATACAAAGTTGTGCACCTGTACAGGGCAATTAGGATAAATGAAACTTGCAGGACTGGAAGGTGCTTTGGGTGAGTGAGTGGTGAGTGAATGTGAAACACTGTAGACTTTATAAACATTGCACACTTCAGCTACACTAAATGTATCAACAATTTGATTTCTTCAATAATAAATTAGCCCTAGTTTACAGTACCGTTTATACTTTATACACTTTTTAAAAACAACTTTTTGACTCTTTTGTAATAACACTTAGCTTAAACCATAAATTGTATAGCTGTACACAAATATTTTCTTTCTAAACTGCTTTATCCTATAAGCTATTTTAACCTTTATTTTTTTAATGTTTCTACTTCTTTAACTTTTTTGTTGATAACTAAGACACAAACACACACATTAGCCTAGGCCTACACAGGATCAGGCTCATCAATGGCACTGTCTTTCCCTCCATATCTTCTCCCACTGAAAGATCTTCAGAAACAATAACAGGTATGGAGCTGTCATCTCCTATGATATCAATGTGTTCTTCCAGAAGACCTCCTAAAGGACCTGCCTGAGGCTGTTTTACGGTTGAATCTTTGTTTATAAGTAGGAAGAGTGCACACTAAAATAATGATGAAAAA